GTTAAGAAGAGGTAGAAAGGTAAGTTAAGGAGAGGTAAAAGGGTAAATTAAGAGGTAGTGAATTATTTTATTAAAAAGCCTGCGTCATTTCGCAATCGCCCTAAGCTTTATTTTTTTAAAAAAAAAAATTTTTAAAAAAAAAATTTTTAAAAAAAAAATCTATAGATCTATAATTTTGAGGTTTCACAACTATTTCGTCCCCTGTCGAAATGCTAATTTCAACTGGAGTTACACTAAATTTCGTCCCCCGTAATAATTTTGACCCCTGTAAATATTTTCATCTTTTATAATAATTTCGAGGTCAATTTTGAATTTTGGAATTCAATTTCGAGGTCATTTTAAATTAACCGAGGTCGGGTTTTGGATTTTTAATTTTGGGGGCATGTATAATCTTGACATATATATTTTTTTAGCCAATCACGATTTACAACATCCTCAAGTTTTTTGATATCTTTATACCAGCTAGTGCTATGGAACCGATGCTGAGCCCCTTGTACTTTCAATGCAATTCGATATTTTTGAAAGAAGGCATTAAGTTCTAATCCATTTAAAAAAGGAGGACGATACTCAATTAACAGTTCCTCATTTAGAATTTCTTTAGCTATCTGAATACATTTATTCTGAACTTTACGATTTTTCTTAGATTCTGATTTCTTTGCAAATTCCTCTATAATTGGCCTTATTTTTGCATTCCTTGTTTCAAGCTTAAGAATTGTAACCTTAATACACTCAAAAAGGAATAGATATTACAAGTGAGTTTTTAATTCTGCTATATCGGCCTCATTTTCAACATATTCCTCCATAACTTGTTTTAAAAGCTTGACATTTTTAGCCTTAAGATTAACTATCTTGGCCTCAAACTCAGCTTTCTTAACCTTAAGCTCTGTATGCTTAGTCTTGAGCTTGGATAACATGACTTTCTTAGCTTTCTCTTTTAATAAATAAATTTCAGATAAATCTTTAGATTCACCCCTTTGGACTTGTGTATTTGCCATTGTTTTATATAAGATACAGATATATTCAAATAATCACATCATACAAAAAAAAATTTGATACATTTTAATCAGAATTCTTTATTGATATATATGATAAAAAAATTCAAATAAAAATACAGGATAATAATACATATGCGCATTCTTTTTCAGAATGCCAATCACTTTTGCTGAGAAAAATTCTCAATCATATACAGATTAATATATATATTGTCAATATCAATACAATAAAATAAATCTCAAAATACACATGTACAGTAAACACGATTAATTATGTGAAATCAATTATCACGGCCAGCTTTATTAATGTGGTAAAAATAAAATCTGGAAAAATCCTCGATCATATATCTGATATATAGTAAATTCAGTTGAGTAATATAGATGGTCAATTAACATGTACTAATTAGCATACATTACACAAAAAATAACACATGATACATGATTCGAAGAAGAGGCAGAGCCTCGAATCTCTGATTTATCATCTAAAGACTTGTACGCTCCTCTAACCAAAAATCTTTATTAATAGCGGAGCTAGTGTCAAAAACACATAAAATATATATATGATAGAAATACAGAATAAAATATATTATATACGAAGAAAAATCTATTTATTTATGGGGTAGGGATGTTACCGTGGGACTTTGGGTAGCATTTCTTGGTGGATGTTGTTACTAGTCAACCTTTTGGGCTAATTTTATTTTCCAAAAGGCAATTTACAACTAGTAACTCATAAACAGTTATTTTAATTTATGAATTGAAGAGGATAATCTATGAAGAATAAAAGAAATATTAAGGTTAAATACTAAGACTAACTAAAAGACTTAAGAATTTAGAGTCACGGGAGTTAAACTATTGATTAATGATTTAATTTTAAAGGTCGAATTAAGAAATTAAGACAAAGAATTAAATATATTTATCAATGGTTTATAAAATAGTAACAGAAATTTATGGATTAGAAT